TTGCAAGGACGATGGTATCTTTAAATTTGTTTTGTCACCATTTATTTTTAAAAAGAATTGGTAAGTTATGCTATCGCTTATCACATTTTTAGAAAATTAAAAGAAAGCGAAATAAAGATACCCATGGACCCATGGATTTATTTGAGGAAATCATCTTGTTTATTAATCACCTGTTTCTCGAATTTATTTATTTATTTTTTGGTTTATAAATTTTATTTTTCAACAATCTCACTTAATAGTCATTATATGGTTTTCTTTCATTTTATTACCGAGCAATTGATTTAAACTGAACGAGATAATCCAATTAGACATTAAAATATCAGCGGGCCACTCGTTGCCCCCGGGAGACGTTATGAGGGCTCCTAACTTAAACTAACCCATTAGCTTGCAAGCATAACGTATAAAAAATGTCCTTAGTTCATTCTATAGGTAAAAATTCTTGCGAAAAGGGAAAAATGCATATTTCATTTGCATTTCTTGGTTTTCGGGAACTTCGTATGGCAGTTTTTCTATCAATTTAAAGTGAAATATATTTTTTTTAAATCAATCAATAAATCTTAATTAAATCGTGCGTTTATTTTAAAAATGATGAGCGATTCTGATAAAATTGGTAATTATAAAACACTGTATAAAACATTTCCACTCTCAATGCTTTATTTCAGAAGGATTAGTACTGAAGCTGCAAGCTTAGTACTGAAACTGCAATCTGTAATGTTTGTTTCAAATAAAAGAACTGAGTGTCTCATATATACATTTAAAACAAGATGTTTTTGCTTTTAAAATAGATTTAAAATAAAATTAATTATTTACTTCAACAATTATTGAAAAAACAAATAAACTTTAGAATCATGGAAAAATGTACACCTGTTAAATAACGTAAGTCAATGTGCGAAATTTTAAATTCTCTAACAAATCTGTTGAATAATTTGGAAACAAATTATTTTTGAGAAATGCAGTGAGCGTATTCAGCTGCGGCAGATAGGTGTTGTAGAGAACATTTTAGAAACACATGTGAAAAACGACACTCTTTTTCGCATTTTACTTTTAAATTTAACTAACTTGAATTTAAAAATTCAGTTGCACTGAAAAAGTGTTTCACAAACAATAAATGAGGTCAGATAGTTAGATTTATTTGAATGAATAAATCAATCAAAATATTTTTCTTTAATTAATAAATTTAGCAGAAATTAAATGGAATACAATCAATAAATTGTTTTTTCCATTAAACAATTTTTATAAAGTAGGCAGCGCTTTTCGTAAATTGTAAATGTTAACTGATGAAAGGAGAGGCTTTGTTTTTTAATTTTTAAAATAAAAACTGCTTAAATATCAATTAAAAATATATTTTAAAGCCTATCTATTCTTACACGACATCTAAGGAAATCGACTGTCAACTGACTCACTACGGTTAATTTCAATAAAGTTCAATTATTTTACACTATTTATGTATAATGAGGAAGCCATACCAAGAGAGAAACTTTTCCTCGCAACATAGAATAAGCCGTGAAGTTTCAAATCCTGAAAAAAAAAATATTCAAAATGTCAAAATAAAAACAAATTATGAGAGGATAACTTAGGATTACGCTACGTTGGTTCTCCAGTAATTTGTTTACATTTTGATTTTATTTATTTTGATTACATTATTTTTTTTAGCAATGAAAATTTTACGGCTTACTCAAGGTATGCCTGAAACTGCCAAGGTATGCCAAGGCCCGAACTCACTTTTTCTATACTTTTAAATTACTTATGGAGGAGAAAGGGAATATGCGACGAAAATTTTATGCCGTAGTACAGTGTTTCCCAAACTTATGACTTTTGTGTACCCTTTTCAAATTTTTCGCAACGCTGTGAACCACTAATAAAAATTTATGTATTTTTTACAATAAGAAAATTACAAAAAAGTTAAAAGTCACAACTGGCTGTTGACACCACTAATTATTAACTGTTAACTCTGCAAAAAATAGTCAATAGAAAAATACGTAATCGTAAATTTTCATGGCTAGCTTTGTTTCAAAAAAAATAATTTGTTTGTTGCAAGATATTTCGTATAAGAACGCGTACCCCCGCTAAACTGTTCCCGTACCCCTGGGGGTACGCGTACTACACTTTGGGAAACACTGCCGTAGTATAACGTCCTCTTAAAAACATTTCATCGCCATAAAATTCGTCTTTTAAAATGTAACATTATGAAATTTATTGATTTTTTTTAAAATAAACTCGCTTAGTATTTGTTTATGCAATTGGTAAAGTTAAAAGAAAAATTATTATCATTATTTTTTTTTCGTTTATGTTTTGTTGCTTTGTTTTATTTGTTTAATTATTGCTTTCCGTTGCTTAAATATTACCTTAAAATTATACTATAATTAGAGTAACATTTAAAAACGTGGGAGTTTAATATAAGGGAAAATGAAATAAAACTATAAATTATTTTTTTAGAAAACAGTTAATAAAAACATGCATTAGCATGGTTTAAAATTATTTAACTAAAATTACTTGCTATAAATTTAAATGTGTCTTATTTACCTAAATATACTATTTCTAAATATAAAAGTATGGTGTTTGTATTAACCCACATTTAGGTCAAGCATATAAATTTTATTAAATGTGGTATTATTTTGATTGAAATATGCTTAAATTACAAGGAAAAAGTTTCGTGCATGAAAAATGATATTTTATTTAAGAAATAAAATGGTGCGTTAAATGGTGAATTTTTGGACCATTGGCCAAATCAATGGACAAATCATTTAGTTCGAAACAATTTTCTTAAGACATTTTTTAAAAATTTTAACTTTAATATTAATACATCATAAAAACATATGATTAATCTCAAATGGCATAATTATACGTTATCAAAAAATTGAATTTGTCAATAACCCTTTCAAGTTAAGAAGCTAAAGTAGTTTAAAAATTTCTCAACAGAAAAGAAAAAATTATTAATTTACTATTACCCCAATTGAATTACTAATATTTTATCGATGTAATCAGAACTCTTGACTATAGCAGAAAAATAAAATTAGTGAAAAGTAACAGTGTTAATCAAAATATGTTTATTGAAATAGTGCGTTTACGCACCTTTGGTCGAAAATGGGTTAAACAAGAAATATTAAAAAATTAGCTTTTTTTTAAATTTTAAATTCAATGTAATTGAAAATGATATATTGGCCGTTTACATTACATGTCGACCCACCAAAACAAAAACAATACTGAGATGCACTACATTGACACAATTTAAATCCGAGGACAGATGGCAGTAATCACCTAGCCTCCGCACCACACTTCCCAGACATCAACAGCGGATTTTCTTCGTATAAATACGAGGGTTGTCCATAAAATAAGGTTCCCAACGAATTTTCACAATTAAAAACATGTTTATTGGCATTGAATAATACATGTTTGGAAAGCTTAGACTTCCCTCTTTTTTTTCGGCATAATCGCTGTTTAGATCAATGCATTTTTACATGCGGTGTACCATCTTCTTTATGCCTGAGTCGTAGAACTCTGCCACCGCTCCGCGAAGATAGCTTACAACAGACAGAATTTGCTTAAACTTCTTCGGGTTTGGCGAGCATGGATGCTTCCACTAACGGGATTGTTCTTTTGTTTCCGGTGTCATGTAGTGGACCCAGGTCTCGTCCCCAGTGACAACAGAGTCCAAAAATTCCTTGCCATCGGTTTCGTAGGCATGAAGAAATTCGCAGGCGGCTTCCACACGTTGCCGTTTGTTGTCATAGTCATCCGTCCGCATTTTCGGGACCCACCTTGCCCAAACCTTGGCATATCCTAAGCGGTCTCTCAGAATGTTGTGAATGCAGGACTTACTGACAACAGGGATCATCTCGCTGAGGTCCCGAACCTTCACCCTTCGATCTTTCAGCATTGCTTCT